TCCAATCCCCAGAGGGTGGCGGGAAGGAAAAAGGAAGAACTTGACATTTGCTCCTATGGTCTGGTCCCCGGCAGTCAGCAGGGACCTCAGAACTCAGGAGTGAGGATTGGCCCCTCTTCTAGACCCTCAGGGTCTACTTACTCTACAAGGAGCCAGGAAGAAAGCTGTGCCTCCTCGGGAGGGCATAGGGGCTGTGCCTGGTACCTCTTCTCCTCCCCTCAGTCAGCTCTTCAGCTGTGTTGCATGTGGCCCAGCCAGAGGTTCAGTCTGTCCCTTGGGACACAGTGTCACCCTTACCCCTGCCCCAATCTCATCCTCACAGATCTGTTCTTGTTGCAGCTCTTTGTTGGGAGCAAATTGCTATACAAGTTGGCAACTATGCCACAGATGAAGCAACTTGGGTTGCTTCTATCTTTTGGCTATTATGAATAATGCTACTAGTATATGTTCAACCCCCTACTATTATTTCTTTTGGGCATGTAGCCAGAAGTGAAATTGCTGGATCATATGGTAATTCTTCTTAATTTTCTGAGGAACTTCCATATTTTTTCCAAAGTAACTGCATCATTTTATATTTCCACCAACAGCACATAAGTGTTCAATTTCTCCAAATTCTTGCCAACACTTGTTTTCTGCTTTTATGATAACAGTCACCCTAATGTATGTAGCTTAAACTTTAATTAAAAGAAAGTGTATTAATAAATGATTCTTTTGGTAATAATTTTATTCTTTCTAAAAACCTGTAGTATTTATAAAATCATAAAATAGGAAAGAGTTTGGTGTGTTTCATGTTTCATTCCTACTCTTTGAATTAACCATTGATGTCAACACTTCGTTCTTTTATCCAGACAAAAAATATTTCATATAAATGCAACAATCTGAGTTTTGCTATGGGAAATCTCAAATCATAATCTCTTTTTCCTGTCACATCTCTTTATATCCCTTTTTAACCTCCCTGGTAATAAGTTTGAAGCCAAAGCAAGATGGACAACAAACACTGTCCCATGCAGACAGCAGATAGATGGATCAGAATAGTGCCCAAGGCCTTGAATACAAGTTGGATGGCTCATGCCATGACTCTATGGGCAGAGTTTTGAAGCCAGTTTATGCTAAAAGAGACCTAATGTTGTCACCTACCTAGACACTCTCCTTGACATGGACACACACAGAACAATCATTTTAAAAAGCAGGCAAAATTGTTGGTCTTAGTTGTTTCCTCTTTCCAAATTGCCGTAACATTGCAAGTCAGTTCAGAAGTTTTGGCCTAAAGCCCTACATCCTCCTTGTTCATCTCAGATCTGTCATGGTTCCAACCATAAGTAGGACAAAAATGATCACATTCCCTTCCTATGGTCAGGACCTCTGGAAAAGAAGGTCAATTACTAGTGTTGGGTGGAAAACTTTTTGAGTCAGAATGAAAACCTAAAAGTTTTGTGTCTTAGCTGAGATTTTAAATTCAAAATAATAACAACAAGAAATAAAGTCACAATTCCTATGAACACAAAATTTAGAATCAGACTCTGGATTTGGTTCTCATTTCTACTATTTGATAGAGTTTATATGACTCATTATATTCTTTCATAACAGTAAGAATGAACCAGACATTGGGAGGACCAAATGAGATATTGTATGTGAAATTTTACTGAAATGTCGTTGGGTAAGATACTAAACTCCAGATTTTTATCTTACTATGTGAGTGTATGCAACATTTTGTGAGAAAAAATTATTAAGATAATTTGTACCCCAGAATAAGTGACTGTGATAAAATGAAGATATTAAACCAAGTAGTTCTAAAGTGCCATGTATGTGATTTAAAACATAAACAAAAGGTATCCAAAACTCTCACTGAGTACTGTAGATGAATGAATGGATAAGTAAGAGCACAGATCAGCTGAAGCCATGAAACATTTTAGAAAGGTGAGGAAGCCTTGGAAAAGAGGGTGGCTAGGTGCTAACAGCAGGATGTACACAATGAAAAGCTTAAAATTAAGAACATCACAGTCCTAACAAGAAAAGGTCCAACCACAGTGAAAAGTCCCATGACAAAGGTGAGAGGAGTTGCTTGTCTCCTGGCAGTGTTGTTACTGTGCAGTTATGAGACAGAGAAAAAGTGAGTTAAGAGATGTGAGATTATTATTTTATTTAATCCTGATTAGTATACACTGCATGCATTTTCTGAGAGTTCAAAAGGAGAAGAGACAGAGTAAGAATGAGGCTAGAGGATGGCCCCACTATCATATTCTGTGGAGTGAAATTTCAAAATTGTATCTATTTCTGTCTCTGGACTCTTCCATACTATCCATTTAATATCTAGTTTTTACTTTCCTCAAATCAAACTCTGGATCACTAACTAACTAGCAGCTGCCACCTGTCTTTGGTTAGCTTGTTAGCTTCCTCTTCTAGAAAGTTCTCTTCACAGAGATCTGTTCCCATGCTGGGAAGTGCGTGCCTACAAAACCCCACAGAAGCCCTCATACCTCCACCCCCACCCCACACCATCGCTTTCAGTTTCTGCCTTCTCGTCAGATGAAGAAAAGCAATCCAGTGCCCAGGGACACATGTCTGTGTGAGTCTGGGTGTGTAAGAGTGATCTGCAGGCCGAGGTGAAGCAAAAGAAGTATAACATTCATATTTTATTTTGTACATGTCAAACTGTATCTTTCTCAGTCATCAAGAATTTTTCTATAAAATGGATTTTATTTTGCTAGTTTATACAGCATATATAGATATGTATATACAAGAAAACAGAACAGCCACAACAAATAGTAACTGAAATTAAGTTCTCTGCATTCAGACACTTGCAGGTGCAGGAAAAAAAATGGAGGAAATATATACTGTATCCTCAGAACCAAATCAGCCATCAATTAAATACCCATGAAAACTTTTTTAAATTATGTACAAGTTCATTTATCAAAATATAAATTCTTCAAAGACCACCTTCTAATTAATGGAACTTAAGTAATCCTAGAAAATGCAAGCTATATATAGATAGATAGATAGATAGATAGATATATGTACAGAAAACAATAGTTTTAACATCGTTTGTTTCTCTATACCATTTATATCTCACTCTATATTCTCTGAATCCTATCACCATTCCATTCACATCAAGAAGTCAAAAACTTATAGTGGAGCGGACTGCAGAAATACAAGAAAAGTTGTTTATTTTTGTGTAAGCCATTGGAGGTCACGCCAAAGTCAGAACTGTATTTGCATAGGAGCTATTTGGTAGGATAACATAAGAGAACACATGAGGATTCTGTTTTGTAGAATGGTGGTGACTTTCAAGCTCCTGATCTTCAAAGATACGGAAGTTCAACTGGCCAATACACCTTGAGAACACAAGGCATCAGCATTTAGGAGGTGGGCTTTCACCACCTAAGCTTCCGTGACTTGCTAAACTCTCTTGCTTCCTCTACTTCCATTCACTCCTAGAACAGAGTAGCAACAAGGAAAAGACTCAGAGTAGCAAGTGCCTGCGAGAACATCAGAGCATCCCACACTGTGAGGCACACTGACACACACAGAGGTTTTATGTGGAGGCACTCAGGCCAGCCTCCCGACACTAGATGGCCAGGCACACGCAGCACCTGAGACCTCATCTGCACCAGATGCTTTCTTGTGACTGCATCACACCTCATGATGCCAGCTGTGGAGACAGAACACTGCTGGCCGCTGGAGTTGCTGCAGTTGCATCTCCACCTTCGCAAGTCACAGACAGTTGTTACACTCAGGGCTGGCAGTGCTGCTTCCGCCACCAACTCCTTGCCCAGCACTGTGCAGCCTACTCCTGCCCCAAGAACTCGATTTGCGGTGAGAGACAAGTTCCCACATCCTGTTGAAATGGGCCTGCCGCTCTCTCCAGCCTCAGAGGCTCAGCCGACTGGAACCAATTACAGCTCATCAACAGTGAAGTAGAGATCCTGTGAGCCATCTCAGCATGGGCTCATGACTAGAGGCCAACAAAGAAGCTGCAGAAATCATTTCCCAACTAGCATCTGTATGATTGATCACGGTGAAACCCAAGCACACTCAGCTCATCAGCCAGTGTTTAACACATATATGGGGAGAGGTGTGCCAGGCCTTAAGGGAGTGTTTGTTTGTGGGCAGGGTGCTACTGCTGAGGAAAGAAAATCAAATCAAATTCCTGTTTTGCATTCTATGTAAAGAATGCACACAATAAATACGTAACTTATAATTTATTAAATAAGTAAATATTTAGACAATGTTAAGGGGGATAGAAAAGTTCACCGAAGTTTTTGTGTCAAGTGCAACTTACTATCTACCATATTTGAGAAGAGTACTGTATTTTCAGCTAGCTTGCATTAACCTAAACTTCACAAGTAAAAGCAATTAGAAGAGTTTTATTATGTAATTTCTGACAATAACGAGTTTTAAGTTTATTTTAGGCTTTTCTACTGTAGGCATATGTGTGTGTGTGTTTGCGTGTGTGTGCACCTGTGTGTGCCTGTGCATGCACAAATGCACGTATTCTCATACATCATGTGTGTTGAGAAGGGGTAGAGGGGTTGGTTGTGGAGAACATATCTGTTGTTTTCTTTCATCTAGGCCAGTGGAGACGAACCTGTTGCATGTGTGGCACAGTGGGCTGTTTGTATCATTGAAAACTCTAAAAGGTTCACCGTCACTGATCTAGGCAACATGAAGCAATAAGGCTGAATACTACTGCTCTTTGAAAATCTCAACTGCTTAAATCTATGACACATTGGTTGGTGCCTGCTTCAAAGATGCAAAGTTTCTCCAGCCCAGGGAAGAACTTTCTTCTCAGTTTGTTTGTTTGTTGTAAACTCTGACTATGTTGCCCAGGTTTAGCCTCAAACTTATGATCTTTCTGACTCTACCTCCCTAGTAGCTGAAATGACAGACATGTGCCGTTGGGTCCGGCTCTTTCAGTCTTTTTGTTATGCTTTCTGGTCAGCCCTTGGCAGAGTGGGTGCTGATCATCTCCCCGATAGAAGTTGGGCCTCTCCTATGCAGAATGCCACCCTCACCTGCCTTCTCCTTTCCACATACTTCCTCTGAAACCATGGACAGGCTCATGTGTCCTCCGATGATACTGAATCTGGGATTCTAGTGTGGACAACAATCCAGGGGCAAGAATTAATGGTGTACAATGAAAAAACCAGCAATTCAGACCAAGTAAGTCATGGGTAATTAACTATTTCAACATAACAATAAAAAACCCACAAGTGCTAAAAATTTGTTAATACTTTTCAGAGAAACAATTTGAGTAAACTATTGTTACTCTTTTACTATCCTTCATGCTTAAAAGTATTACATGCAGGGGCTGGGGATTTAGCTCAGTGGTTCTGCCACTTGCTGCACAAGCGCAAGGACCCGAGTTCGATCCCCAGCACCAAAAATAAAAAATAAATTAAAAAAATAAAAGTATTACATGCGGTAAAGTGGAGAAATCTTCTCTCCCTTCCTGGGTGCTATAAGGGAAGAATATCTGCAGCCACAGGAGTGAGTTTTCTCCTCTTGCTCTAATTGCAGAATGACACAAACACTTCCCAAGAATGTAAAATATGGCTTCTAAGATATTTTAAGTTCATTATTTACCCAAGCTTCATGAGTCTTTTATTTCTTTTCTTCTTTAAAACACATCCTAAGCACAAAACTTTCAAAGGCATATAACTTAATAAACTACCTCTAGTTGTATAGTTACAGCACTTTTATATCATTTAGTCTCTATATACTTACCTGTAGGGTTGAGGGTATGTTTTGTTGTTTAAAAAGTTATAAGTAGATTTTATGCTTAGATGTTTTCAGTAACTCATGATCAATAAACTATCTCAGGATTCCCAGCCTAGCACAGTGGATGCTTTCCTGTGGGGGTCTGCTCTGTGCACTGCGGGATAGGGTGCTGGGCTCAGCTCTACCACTGCAGGCCAGTCCTCCCCTTTCTCTCCTTACTTGATCCTGTCAATCAAAAGTGCCTCCTCTATTCCCCTGCTGGGGATCTTCCCAAAAGAATTAAAAGAATCAAACCACAGTGATATATGTGCACCCATGTTCATAGCAGCACAGTTTGTAATAGCTAAAGCTTGGAAAGAGTCCAATTGCCCATCAACTGGAGACTGGAGAAAGTAGATGCATTTTTTTTATAAAATGGAGTACTACTCAGCCATAAAGAATGAAAAACTAGAGACATTTATAGCTAAATGGATGCACATTGAGGTGATACTCTTTAGTGAAATAAATAGGACACACACGTGTAAATACCAAATAGCATCTCTGATGTGAGAAACTGAAAGTGTAAATAAGGATCAAGATGTATAATAGAAAATGTGAAATAGGAAGAAAAGGGGCAAAGGGGAAGGGGAAGTGAGAGGGGTAGGGGAAAGGAAAGAAGGGAAAGGAACAAATATGAGAAAAGGAATAAACAGAAACAAAGTCTTTGTAAATAGGGAGGGGTGGAGGGGTTGAAGAGAGGGCAGAGGAATGGAGAAAAAATAAAAACCAAGACACATCATGTAAAGGTACAGATTCTGAATGACGAATGGCATCATATTGTATACCAAAAGTGTACCAATAAGCAATGATTTTTTTAAAAAAGTGCCCCTAGACCTTATCATGTATGTCCTGAGGGGAAGACAACAGCCCAGATGGGAACCACTAGACTATCTTAATATTCAAGACATATTTCAAGGTGTAAATATCATCACAATAAATCCAAACAAAGTGAAACCCTGTTCCTAAAAACAGCATATTTTTAATTTCCTATATGAAAGTATGTAGATGACAATGAAAGGAAACATTTTCTGGATAAATACAGTGTCTTGATGTCTGTCCTTCACAGCACGTCAGCTTTTGTTTAAATATGTACTTGGTTAGTTGCTTTTGAGTAGATTGCTAAAATCAAAAAAAGATTTTCAGAATCGGGGAATGTGAACTAGAAATCCAGAAGATGCGACAAAATGAATTTTGTTAACAGCCATCTTTCCAGGGGCTGTAGCAAACATACAAGCTTAAACTAGTGCAGATAAGCAAATCTGAACAAGGGAAAGATACACAGGGACTAAAAGAAATTAATTTCTCTGAAAGGACTTTCTACAGTTGTATCTGTATAATTACAGAGTAATCTACATGGGTAATCTGGGCTAAGAGTTTATAGGCATGCAACAAGTACAAATAATAACAAATTGCTTCAAATAACTACAAAGAGGAAATTTCAAGTAATTGGAAATGAAATATTTGTTTTGCCTAAAATATTGTAATCTCTGAGGTCTTCTAGATTGTGAAATACTTCCTGAAAATAAGTAGAAGCTCAATTTTTACATCACTAAGAGTTTAACAAGATTCTGCAGCTAATATGCACCAATATGAAACAGGTGGCAAGGGAAAAAAGCTGAGTTAACATTTAAAATATTTAGCGATTTGTGGCACAGCTATGAAACAATCAGAATGGTTGCCAATCATCCATCCAGCTCTACTGATGTATATCAACTGCATATCAATCGCATGTCGGCCCTGGAAAAAAACAAGATACAGAGCGGGGGTTTCTGTTTGTGTAAAAATGTGAATAGGAAGGATGTATATATGTGAGTATATTTATATGTATACACATATATACATATATATATTTGCATTATTCATCCATATACATAAGAAATTGGTAAAAGTAGCTGTTTTTGAGAGGGGACAGAGGAGTGTCAGTCACCATGCCACTTATTGTTTAAAACAGGTCAGTGCTGAGAGTAAAAGGGAACATTACTATCATTCCAAAACAATGAGCACAAACTTGTATTATACTAGTAAATCAGGATATATGATCGCCCCAGTACTGGAGGTCTAGGTTCAGGGGTTGTAGAAGGCATATTTTTCACTCTGTCTAGAACGAAAAATTTCTCCTACCTGTTTTTTTTTTTTCTTTAAAGAAAAGTTTTGAAAAGTCTTTGGAATGGAATAGATATGCAATCCATAATGATATCAGAATGCAAAACAATGTTAATTTTTAATCCTTTTTCTTCTATCATTATCATTAAGGAAAAAAATCTAGCTATTTTTGGTAAGGGTGAACCTGGGTGTTGAAAACCTTTTCTAATAAACTTCTTTACAATGGTGATGATCAGGCAACCTCTAAAGCTGGCTAAGAAATCACTGTTTTTGATTAAACAGTTCTGGAGTGAGGCTGCTGACCTGCCAGCCACATTAGTAAGGTCAGGTACACTTTACTGTTTTTTCAAGGGATCCTACTGAGGAACACGTTGCTCATTCTTTCCCTCTCAACATCCAGTGAAAAGTTTTAGAGTATGAGCAAACCAAACTCAGACATAGCAACTGTGTTATGTTACTCAGGACTATGCATATTTCCAGATACTTTGGTTTAAAAGTAAGACATAATGGTGGTTTTTGTAACTTCAAAATTTGGTGACATGGAGAAAATGATGTTATGTGACTAGTGAATGAGAAGAAACGATGGCAGACAATAACTGGACATATGTTACATGCAATTCTTGACCTCAGGACTTGACATGCATTCACTCATTTAATTCTTATCAAACAAACAAAAACCCAGTGCCACATAGGGTTATCATTCTCATCTTAGAGATGGAGAAAACTGAACCTTGGAGAAGTGAAGTAATTGTTAAATCATGTGGCTAGTAAGTGGCACACTTACTAGGTCTGAACCTAAGCTGGAAACTTCAGAGCCTGTATTTTTAACCTAGACACAGAGCCTCTTAGATCTCTTGATAGTCAAGAGACAAAAGTTCAGGAGAGAGACAGAGACAGAGACAGAGGCAGAGACAGAGAGACAGACAGACAGACAGACAAAAGTTCCAATTCCAAACCAAAACCTACCATTTTTTTCTAAACTAAAAACAGGGCTAGGGTATTTCATGGGTTTTTCCCCACAATGAGATCCAAAATATGAAGTTGCTGTAACATAGTAGGATTTCATTTCCTCATCAATTCAGTGAGAGAGGGAAACTAGATGATTTTTCAAGATTTCGTTTGTTCTGTGAAGCTAGGAAATCTTTCTATGTGCCAATACTCTTTGAAGCACTTTATCCATATGAAATTGTTTAACTTTCCTAAGTTCTATAGGAACTATTATCATCAATATGGAGGGAAGCAAACTAATTTATGCTTCTTGTCCAAGTTTAAAAAGCTAATAAAATTCAAACCCAAGTTACCTGGCTTCCAACTCTATGCTCATAATCACTCTGCTTACAGTCTTGTGTCATAAATTTAGGATGCATTGTAGATCTAGAGTGTAAATTATAAAATGTAGAAGAAGTCTAGAATCTACCTCAAAGATAGCCTTCCTTCTAGGTGGGGAGCAAACTTTTATAGTGGGTGTTTGTTTGTTCATTTGATGCTGGTGCTTGGAACCAGGGCCTTGTGCTTGCTAAGGAAGCACTCTACCACTGAGCTACACCCTCACCCCAGTATCTTGTATTTGTTTATGCTTTTCATGCAAAGGTTCAGGGTCCTCTGTAGCCATGACATCCCTAGAGGTTGAGGAAAGGACCCTTCCTCTCCTACTTCCTCCCCAACACTCAAAATCTCTGTAGTTCTGCTGTCTTGCTGCCAGTCACCTTCAGGGATTGCTTGAGGATTTGAGGAAATCATGGGGGCTAGAAAAGTGGTACAGGAAGGCAAGCTAGAAAGCAGAAATCCAATAGTTATAAAATGCAAGTTTGAAATTGCGGATGTTATTGAGGTTTCTCCTCCTGCCTAACTCCTTTACCCAACTCTGCAAACACACACTCACACATGTATTGGTAAGGAGACAAACTTATGCCCAGAGCACCATATCTTTTTTTTTTTTTGTACTGGGGATGGAACTCCAATCCTTGTCCTTGCAAGGAAGGCGGCAGAACCACTGAGCTAAGTCCCCGGCCCCAGAACACATTTCTTGCCTCATCACTGTACAGAGTATTCAGCTCAATGCCAACCTTCATTCCTCAAACACACTTTGCAGTTTCAAAGGTGCCAGGCCAAAGTATAGGTGCAGTGTGAAGACAGAAAGAAATGAGACAATCTCTGAGCTTTGGAATCCTAGACAAAACTGAGTTTGTCTTACTATGACTCCTTAATAATTCTTGTGTGTGTGTGTGTGTGTATGTGTGTGTGTGCGCCCGCACGTGTGTGTGTGTGTTTGTGGTAGTAGTGGACTGTCACACTGAGCTACATCCCCAGCCAATTTTTAAAATTTTTTATTTTGAGACAGGGTCTTTCACAGTCTTTCCAAGTTGGACTCGAACTAGTGATCCTCCTGCCCCAGCCTCTCAGGATGCTGGAATTACAAGGGTGCACCATCACTCCCAGCTTATTACTTAACAGTTCTAATAATAACTGTTTCCATTTATTGAGCCCATACTATGGGCCAGGCAGGAATTGTAAAAATTCCATTTCTAATGCACATAATTCTTGGCAGCTATGTGTCATTACTCATTTATAGATGATATGACTGAAGCCCTAATAATCTTAATTAACTAAAATTCAGAACAAATTCCCATGCTCTTTCAATGGCATCCTCCTGCAGTTTCAGCTTCAATTTTCTTTCCTGTGAAATGGGTTCATTCATGCCTTTTTCTTACAACTGTTGTAAGAATGAGATGGGACAACATACAATCAAGCACACGTGTTCACACACTAAGTGGTGGTTCTTAAGACTACTAGAGAAAACAGCACAGAGGTTTGTAAAGGGCACCTATGGTGCTAGCATGGGTCAAGTGCAGGGTCAAATGTCCCAGCTGCACAGAATCTAGTGTAGTGGTATTTGAGTGGAGCCTTGAAAGATAAAATCTGTTTTGGTGTGTGGCAACAATCAATAAAGGGTGAGACATAGATATTTTGTAGGTAAAATTTAAAGCATAAAAAGAGAGATTGTCATGGCCACGTGTGTATCTTCAGTGATTACTTTTTTTTTTCTTTTTCTTTTGGTTTTTTGAGGCAGGGTCTTGCTATGTAACCCAGGCTGAACTTGAACTCACAGCAATCCTCCTGCTTCAACCTCCCAAGTGCTGGGTTGGTGATTACTTTTAAAATCTCAAATCTTCCCATATTTCTAAAATAACAAGACAATTAGAACTCCTTGTTGTTGAGCGAGAGAGCAAATGTACCACTAATTTTCCCTGATTAAGTGGATTATATCCCCAGAGAAAGGCAATTAATGGTATCTTGGCTCTATAACACTCTCATTCTAGACAAGAAGGACAGAGCCTGTGTAGTAGGACCTCTGGGAAAGAGTGAGAAAATCATTACAGAAGATAGGAGGCTAGTAGGGGAAAGGTCCAGAAATAAGATTTTCCAGCCAGTCCTCTCTGTTTCTATGTCCCCTCCGCTGTGTGCCTCCAGATCCAACCCTCGAGACTGGACCAACTCTGGACGTGAGCACACTCTGCCCTCCAGTCCTGATACAGCTGAATCATTAGCACTCAACACTTATAAGTCATTAGGAGACCCACTCTATTACTTACTTACACAAAGGAAGTAGTTGTCCTGTGCTCTCCCTGACAGCAAACAGACCTCACCTGTGGATAGGAACCAGAAAACTGCAAACTACAGAGATGCAGCATAGCCGTGCTGCGTAAAACCTGCAGCCTAAATTTACAGAAGGGCTTACTTTCATTTTTTCAATGTACTTTCTATTTAAGAGTTTCAATTTGTAAAAGTTGGAAGAATTCATTTTTTACTCACTTCTATAATTTTTTCAGATTAAAAGAAAAAGGTAGCTAAACACCAAGTCAGATTAAATCCAACAAGAGAGCTAGAGAACCGGTGAGAGAGAATGACAAGTGTTAGTTAAGCAAAAACGAGCAAATTGCTCTAAAATGACAAAAAGACAAAAAAAAAAAACCACAACAACATATGCACAGAGCCCTCCCCTTTCAAGAGATTCTCACAACTTATTTTGCCATAGAGGAACTTAGATGTTACAATATCTTGGTAACCAATCAGCAAAGCTTCAGGCCTCAAAACAGGAAGCCCTGTGAGGTATAGTATGTTCAACTGTACAAGTGAGACTTCTGGTTCTCAGCGAGTTTTTGTTCCCTGTGCTTGTAGGATGGAAAAGCAGATGTGAAGTCCCTCATGGCGAAGTTTAACACAGGGAGCAACCTGGCAGAGGAGGTCTCAGGTAATAACCGGCCCTTCAAAGCCACAGCACAAAACTCACCTTCGGGAATACAAGCCAGAAAGAACTTATTTGACAACCAGGGAAATGTCAACCCTCCCACAGGACCCAGCAACATGCCCAAGTTTGGGACTCCAAAGCCACCTTTGGCAGTGAAACCTACTTTCGAGGAAAAGCCTGACAAGGAGCCCAAACCTCCTTTTGTAAAACCCAGTGGAGTGAACCAAAGATTTGGAACTTTGTCAAACTCAGCTACCAGAGAGCCTGACATAAAAATGGGATTTCCAAAACCTGGAGGCCTCAAGCCCATCAATTTGCCAAAAGAAGATTCCAAACCTGTGTTTCCCCGGCCTCCTGGAAATAAGTCGTCACTTCACAGTGTGAACCAAGACCAAGACATGAAGACACCAGGCCCAAAGCCTGGGACTGCCCCTCCAGCCCCGGAAAGTGAGCAAAGACTAGCATTCTCCAGGCTGGCTGGGGCTAAAGGCAAGTTTACATCAGCCTCACCAGATCATGATGCCAAACCCCTGTTCCCCAAACCCATCATTGGCCAGAAGCCAGCCCTGGGTACCGAAAACTCCCATGAAGATGAGAACCTCACTAAGAATATGTCTGCCCAGAAAGGATCCCCCACACCCCTAGGAGCCAAGTCCAAGGGAGGCTCTGTAAAACCAACAAGGGAAGCCCCAGAAAATAAAGGCCATGGAGGTGACGCATCAAGTTCTCCATTCACTGGAGTGGTTCTGAAACCTGCTGGAAGCCGAGGAAGCCCAGGCCTTTCCAGAAATGGTGAAGAAAATAAAGAATATAGGAAGATAGATGCCACTAAGAATATCTTCCTCAGCAAAGTGAATCAGGAAGAGTCAGCCAAGTTCCCTAAGCCTCCTTCCAAGCTGACAGTGGGGGGGCCATGGGGCCAAAGTCAAGAGAAAGAAAAGAAAGACAAAAACCCAGCAATCCCAAAGCAGAAACCATTGCCTCCTTTGTCTACCTTGGGTCCACCTCCACCCAAACCCAGCAGACCACCCAATGTTGACCTGACGAAATTCCGAAAAGCTGATTCTGCAAACAGTGAGTTATTTTCTCATTGCTAAGCAGTATGGTTTGTTCCACAGCAGGAGGGGTTTTAGCTTCTGAGGAAAAAGTTGTAACAAGGAATGATTGCATAACTGGTACTCATGCATGCAAGTGGTGAATTTTCTTTGGCATTTCTTTCTTTTGTGTGGGAGGTCTAAGAAAGTAGGAAGTCTGGGTTCTACGTAAGCATTCTATGAGAAAATGCCCTGGAGGCTGGCTTTTCAGGAGAGTGGGTGGCAATATATCAATTTGATTGATAAATGGATTTGCTTAATAATAACCATTGCACGCACTTCTTCAGTTGGATTTCATTTCATTTCGGTTGAAAGAGACTGAGGCAAACTATCCCTACTACCAGAAATGAGATAGGTAAGGGAGCAAACTTCTAAGTAAGTAGTTCCCAAAGGGGCAACTAGGATGAGCAGGGGACATTTGGCAATGCCTGGTGGTATTTTTGATTGTCAGGATTGAGGATGCTGTTGATACCAGTGGGTAGAGGGCAAGGATGCTGGTAAACACCCTACTATGCCCAGGCAAACAGAATTATCCAGGCCGAAACATGAATAGTAAGTACTGAAGATGAGAAACCTTCCTCTAAGTCATTTCAAATATCCACTCCGTTCACGTTGCCCAAGCCTAGTACTCAAATAAGAGAGGAAAACGACTTTTAGGAGATGATAACTTTTGTTTCATATTTTAGATGTTTAAATTTCTCAGTATAATGTTTTCTGAATTTATAAGTATTGCATAGCTAGAAAAATAAGGCAGATAAAGGAGTGCATTAATCTCTTTCTGGATAAACCGTTTAATTTTCTACCAGTGATGTCACTGCAATGTTTTGGAATGCGGTATAACTTGACACTGAATGGCTAGGTAAAGATATGCAACCCCACATCGTGGGGGGAAAAGCTCACACATGTCTGAGAAGATTAATATTTTTTTGCAAAGGATGTGCAACTGTTGTATATTGTAAGATGGAAAAAAACATGCTTACAAGTGACTGTACCTCTCTTAGTCATACATTTCTCTTTACAAAATTATGTTTTAATTTAAAGCAGTTCTAGACCTAACAGTTGTTTTTCATTTTGGCGCTGTGGAAGCATCTTCAGTGTGTCATTCTCATCAGATCAGTGTGCTTTGTGGTGGTAAACAGCTAGTGAGCAAGTCCTCCATTAATCCTCCCATGTAGAAGGCAAGCTTAGAATGACCCTGATGATCTGTCTCTTAGAAAGATTGGCCTGGTGTCAGCTTCTCATCGCTCATGCCATGGAAATGGTTTTGATGTTAAACAGAAGTCTTTGGGAGTTTTCCTCCACACCCTCCATCTGCATTTCAACTCCTCTTCCACTTCTGGGTGGTGGTAACACATGGCTTTTGGATGAGTCTCCACAGATGTTAATGCTAAGGAAGTCCTCTGTGACTCTACAGGCCTGGCTAGGCCAGCACTGAATGATGGCCAGTGCAATAGGGGGATAAGGAGCTGCACAGGACTCCAGAGCCAGCAGCATTATCCTCAGTCTCTTCTTCCCCTTGCACGCCTTCTCCTCTCCTGACTTCGCTCCCTCCTACCCAGTTGTCCAGGACACCATCTCTATTTTAAACCCCGTCACCACAGTTACCTTCTCAACCTCTGATCCCTCAAGATATATTAAGATCCAAGATGTAACCTCTTCCCTCTTCATCTACCACTTCCACAAATCAAAAGTCAGCCATAATGTAGATTGACCTCAACTTGTTGTCAGGATAAAGAAATTTGAAACATATCTTTAGATCTGAATAGTGCCCATTTAAAGCATCACTTTTTTCTTTAAAATTTTAAATCCTTTTATATTTTTAAATAGAAATTACATTCTGACTCAAAAAGCAATAAGTATAAAATGGTAGGCAGTAAAATAAGTCACCTTTAGTGTTTATTGGCTGTTTACTGCTCTTCCCAGCCCCTGTCGCATGGAAATAACTCTTCTTAGTCCCTTACACTGTAGTACAAAGTTTCTTTTATGTTTATATAAGAAAATTTATAGATTCTAATCCTCCAGCTTTACACCCAAAAAGTAGAATATTATATGCAACACCCTTTTGTGCCCCCCTTTCTGTGTGTGTGTTGGTGGTACTGGACATTGAACTAGGACCTCATGTGCACTAAGTATGTGCTCTACCAGAGCTGTATCTTCAGCCCTCTTGCTTAAGAAAAACAAGTATATATCTTTCCACAATTTAATAAGGAGTAACTGATTTTTCTTGAGATCTGGATATTACTCTGATAAATGGATGACTAGCCTAATTGATTTAACAATTCATGTTGCTTCTAAGCATTATCTTGTTACAAATAATACTATAGAAAATAAACTTGTACATGTATCATAAAACACACATTTATTTTCTGAACACAGAATATTTATTAATAGTCAGGTCTGAAAATTCCTAATCCTTCCATTGATATTTTTCCTAAACTGTGCCAGAAATACTAGGAAATTTAGCCTTCCATTTAAGAAGGTTAAAAATGTGTCAGAATTCAAAAATGCATATTTATGTTACATACTAGCTAGACACCAAGCTAAACAGAAAATAATTAAAATATTTTTAATTAAAATATTTTTGTGGCAAAAGAAAACATCTTAGATTTAATTATCATTCTAGAGTACATAAATAGAAAATTTTAAAAATACATTATCATAATTATATAGTGTGTTGTATGTACAATTTAGATGGGAGGTACTTTAAGGATCCATTAAGTGTGATTGTCACCTTCATTTCATAAGTGAGGGTCGAGACTGGAGCATGTGACATATCCAAAGTCACACATGCAGGATCAAAATCTAGCTCTTCAGGTTCCAAGTTCAATTCTTGGTTCTCATACTGTCCTGCCTCTGTGGAATGTATATGATTACATGCCTATGTTTGGTGTATATGTGTATTAACTTATATGGAATATATATTATCACAAGTATACACAATTTTAACTTCTATCAAAGGACTCTCAATGTTATCATTTTGAATACTTACAATTTCCTATGAAACAGAGTAGTTTAAATTAATTCATTTTAAACCAAAGTGTATGGTGTCGAGGTTAATAATTTTGATGATATTAATAGTAAGAGTTGTTTGTTATGTGATGTAGACTTCAAAATCAGTAGACCTGGGTTTTCAGTATCACTTATTTTTTACTATGCAACTTCAGGCAAGTTGTTTTTCTTCTTTCAGTCTAAAACATTAATATCTCCCATGTTATAAGGATTAAATAAGATTATGTTTAATGTACTTCGCACTATTTGGCACATAGTAATAGAAAAATGAGTAAACATTGTCTATAATTTTATTAGCTTTAAAATTTTATTTCCAGGTATGCTGTATTTCTATCATATTATACTGTAAAGACTATTCTAAGAATCATAAACTGCATTTTACATACTTGTGCTTGTGACATGTAAATTGTTAACAATCTCTATAAAATTATGCTGAAGAAATGATTGCTGGAAAGAGGTTTGCTAGGGGAAGTCTCTGAAAGATCTTCTGTCAGGCTTTCTCTTTCCTGTTAACAAAGGTCATGGAGGGCAGGAGGTAAAGTCTGAGTGGTACTGATAACAGCCACACCTAGATTTACTATCTACTGTTCAGCGAGGCCAGGAGAAGGCCCTGCTTCTCCAGAGGTAGAGACATACTGCAAAGTCAAGACTGGTGGCTGTTATCAACACTGGTACCAAGGGCAGCTTTTCAAGGCCATTGCTTCCAAAGAGCATCTGCCTTTCCCATTACCTGTCAGCTTGGAAATAAAAGAAATTTGCTCAATTTGCAAGAAAAGCCACAGATGCTTAGATTGGTAGTTTCCAGGAAAGTTCTTCTGGGTGTGCCACTACAGACCCTACATTTTCTGACATTGGAATTTTTTCCCCAACTCTAATAAATGTGTACCCTAAACATACTTGGCTAGACATAAATTTTCATATGTCAGAGCTTCAAGATAACTTACTTACTGCATGGTATAATCAGAAAATGTATTCATCTGCTTGCAATAAGATGGGAAAGAAAGATTATATTTTTAGATAAAATTAGCCTATTACCAAATACTTCTGCAGGTTTTTGAAATTCACTGTAGCTTAATAGATACTGATTGAATCAAAAGTATTTTCATAGTGAATATAGAGATTTAGTCTAAGAAGATTTTTGTTGTTAGAAGTAGTTATATTAGTGTTGAAACTAACTAAATAATTTGATTACTCTGTAGAGTTTCAAAACTACATTATTTGCTTAGCTTTCTGCCTCATTTCTTCTTTTCTAATTTCACATCCATTTTCTTTTTTTTTCTTTTTTTTTTCATTGGGAATTGTACCTTTATATAATGCATCTTGGTTCTTATTTTTTCCCCATTCCTAGCCCTCCCTTCACGCCCTCCACCCTTACCTATTTACAAAGACTTTATTTCCATTTTTTCCATTTCTCATCAATTTTCCTTTCCCTTCTTTTCTTTCCCCTGCACCTCCCACTACCCCTACCCCTTTGGACCTTTTCTTCCTATTTTACACTATCGTCACATCCATTTTCTTAAACCTCTTGACCAATATATTATTTATGAAAGTTCACATTTAACATTGTCTCCAATATATTAACCACTAAAAATATTCATCATTTATTGAGGAATTATTATATATCACATGCACAATATCCCAATTATTCCTTACAAGCTGTGAAATGGAATTCTGTGAGAATCTAAAGATCAAAAAGATTAGGGAATTTGTCCAAAGCTGTAGCTAACTAACCAGGGCCAGAGCTGATCCTCGCATCTCCAAGCTCCCATGTGAGGCCACCTCTCTTGAAACATAGCTATCATGAGATAATAAATCAAGCATAAATGATACCTCAAGAATAATTCTCCCTTTCTCTGGCTTTTGGTTGAAACTTGTCTCTCTTTTTAAAAAATTATACACATCCCTGTGACATTTAAGTGTCCATTACTGCTTACCATTCTCTCATATGGAGCACAGAAATCATATAAGTTT